AAAATCATCTAGTGACCAAAATGTTGCAACACGGCTCGTTTATGGTCAATGTTTTCATATTAGAATTATCAAATGCAGCAAATTTAATACAGTTTTGTGATGTTTTTTTTTGTTTGGTAATCAATTTAATTAAAAACTATTAGTATGGGTTAGTATTCGATTGATTATTAATTTTAATAATATTACTCTTTATTATTTTTGATTAGCCAAGCCAAGCACGACTTGGCTTGGCTAATCAAATGTTATAATTTAATGTTATTAAAGCCTGTTATTCCAGGACGATTCGATAACCTCGGTTATGTTTATACTTTGTGGGTAAAATGAATACTTTAAAATCATGTCAGGAAACAGCTCATTGATACGCTTGGTAGTTGTGGTGGAGGGAAGGCTGGGGTTGTGGGGGTGCTGGTGGAGGGAAGGCTGCGGTTGTGGGGGTGCTGGTGGAGGGAAGGCTGCGGTTGTGTGGGGTGCTGGTGGAGGGAAGGTTGGGGTTGTGGGGGTGCTGGTGGAGGGAAGGCTGGGGTTGTGGGGGTGCTGGTGGAGGGAAGGCTGGGGTTGTGGGGGTGCTGGTGGAGGGAAGGCTGGGGTTGTGGGGGTGCTGGTGGAGGGAAGGCTGGGGTTGTGGGGGTGCAGCTGTCCGACCCACAGCCTCATGGGTGGCTGTTCTGCCTCCATAGCAAAGAGCTGTTTAACCTAGCACCTGCCGTACGCTCCTTGTACCTATTATATCATTATACAACCTAGAAGCAGGACTGGATATATATATATTATATATATATATATATATATATATATATATATATATATATATATATATATATGTCGTACCTAGTAGCCAGAACGCACTTCTCAGCCTACTATGCAAGGCCCGATTTGCCTAATAAGCCAAGTTTTCCTGAATTAATATATTTCTCTAATTTTTTCTTATGAAATGATGAACCTACCCATTTCATTATGTATGAGGTTAATTTTTTTTAATGGAGTTAAAAGTAACGTAGATATATGACCGAACCTAACCAACCCTACCTAACCTAACCTAACCTATTTTTATAGGTTAGGTTGGGTTAGGTAACCGAAAAAGGTAGGTTAGGTCGTCGAAAAAGCATTAATTCATGAAAACTTGGCTTATTAGGCAAATTGGGCCTTGCATAGTAGGCTGAGAAGTGCGTTCTGGCTGCTAGGTACGACTTATATATATATATATATATATATATATATATATATATATATATATATATATATATATATATATATATTTTTTTTTTTTAAAGTTTGTGAGGGTACCACCTCTGGTGCCAATGTGGGGACCCATAGCCTCGGAGAAGAAAATAAAAAGTATTCAGAGGAGACCTTGTGGTTTCTTACTGAACACTAATATTATCTTCTCCTACCACCCCCATTCTTTTGTATGTACACATATATATTTACTTTATTTGAACTTTGTTACAAAAAAGGAGTTACATATGGGTTACAAAGATGGTTATCATAGGTTGTCGAGTTTCTCCAGCTCCTCAGATGGCGGGCAGGAACCCTGGATGCAGTGCGCATTTCCCCTCTGTATCGCCACACTGAGGCGCTGGAAAAGTATATATATATATGTAAATATATATATAAAGAAATATATATATATATATATATATATATATATATATATATATATATATATATATATATATAATATTGCCTAGATACTGATTTTATCTTTATATATATATATACACATATGAGCGAAATTGTCTTTGCCCAGCGTGAAGGTGAGGCCAGAGCTGGAGGTGCTGAGAGAGGAGTTTTGAAAGGAACACAACTCTTTCTTACACGCAACGTTTCGCGTTGCCAGTTTCTGAGCGAAACATCTGTACGAAATGTAGTTTTTTTTGTAACTGGTTATAGCGGGGGTGGGGGAGGGGGGGGAGAGGTGGGGAGGAAGGTAGGGGGTAGAGACATAGGGGTGCCTCACGATGTCACCACTAGAGGGGTGGAGACGTCTGTCTGACTTCCAGGTGATATCATCCCCTCCGCTGCCAAACCCCCCCATTTAACACTACTTTTAACAAAATATCTCATATAAATGCTGTGTATATTTTTTGTTTAACCTTTTCTTGTGTGGTTGCAGCATGTCAGGTGTGTGTCCACGAGCACTCCTGCAAGGACCAGATCTCCGACTGCTCCAAGCTGAAGAACCCCAAGGTGAGGCCAACCCTTCCGCTGCTTCAGTCTGTTGCCTTCGCTGCTTCAGTTTCATTGCCTTACTCGGGCTTTGTGCTTCAGCCGCTTGATATTATGTGTGTGTGTGTGTGTGTGTGTTTATTATTCCCCCCATGTCGTTGCCCGCGCGTGCTTCTCTTGTCTCTTAACACTGAAGGTTCGTATGTGTCGAGTGCAGTGTTTTTTTTTTTCCTCTCTTCATGAAGGCTACTTATCGAAAATAGATTGTCATTTTTTGTTATTATTATTTACCATTTTCAGTGTTCAATCAGCCAGGCTGTGGGGGGTTGTTAGGGATACGGGACTAACGGGTTACCTTGAGGTGCTTCCGGGGCTTAGCGTCCCCGCGGCCCGGTCGTCGACCAGGCCTCGGAGAGGAGAGCGCGGGAGAAAACGACAACATTTAGCGCCCCCTGTAGCGGAAATGACTATTTAGTTTTGAGGGTCACCGAGGCCTGGCTGGACAGTGTCGTGCAGACCTCCACGTGAGCCGCAGTGATGAAACAGTAGCTAACGCACTACACCTCTAGCGTTCACGCATTAGCAATATCCTGCGTGACGCAATGTGTCAAACACGATAGCTGGGCCCACTGACCCTGTTGTCTCCTCTAGCGGTGTGGCGCCACGTAAACTACTCAACAACACTCCACGGTGGCATGAAAAGCACAACATTAACGCTTTTATTAATGATATTTATAACTGTTGTTGCAGATTTGTTCTCGCTTTATGAGCTGCAAATGTCGGTAACTAGTTGCGTAGGTGTGTGTGTGTGTGTGTGTGTGTGTGTGTGTGTGTATGTGTGTGTGTGTGTGTGTGTGTGTGTGTGTGTGTGTGTGTGTGTGTGTGTGTGTGTGTGTGTGTGCGTGCGTGTGCGTTCACCTAGTTGTGCTTGCGGGGATTGAGCTCTGGCTCTTTGTGTGTGTACTCACCTATTTGTACCGCACCTATTTATGGTCTCACGTAGGCAGTGTAAAACGCCCTAAATGCCTCCTTACTTAGGTTTCTGAATGTCAAGCGCGTGTCTGTGTGTGCTTGCCTGCCTGCCTGCCTCTGTATGTTGAGACTGCTGTACTGCAATGAGCAGAAAGGTACATAATATTCCAATAGATTAAAGGTATGTCCAATATAAATTAATATTTATCCAATATAAAAAATAATATATATAAACTAACATTTATATATACATGTCATAATTTTATGTACAGCTAGGGGTCTAGGATAGGTTTTGGTTATTTTTAAAAGAGTTGCTTTGCCCGTTAACAGGGGGAGGTTGGGGCCTGGGTACCGGGTGTTTGACGAAGCCGTTACGCAAGCACTTACGAACCTGTACATCTTTCCTCAATCTTTGACATTTATTAAACAGTTTACAAGCCTGAAAAAAACCTCCCTATGTACTGTTGTTATTGTTATAAACAGCCTCCTGGTGCATCGGAGCTCATTAACTGTTTAATAATTGTAAACAAAAGCCGCCAAAGATTGAGAAAAGATGTACAGGTTCGTAAGTGCTCGCGTAACTGCTTCGTGAATCTGATCCCCCTGGCCTTGGCGGGAGAGGGTAGTTCAGGCCGCCACAACAGCCTACTGGCTCAACCTTCAAGGACACAATAAACTCAGGGCATATATTGAACCCAAAATAAATGATCGTACACTTGGCCCTTCGTGATGACCAGACCACACACTAGAATGTGAAGGGACGACGACGTTTCGGTCCGTCCTGGACCATTCTCAAGTGGCCCTTCATACGGCCAATTCATACGGCCAATTAGCAAGGCTCTATTATGTAAACCTGTTGTTTGCTTGGCTAAAACAAAACCGTATGTTTGATTTCACTAGAATGATTGTTTCATGTACAGTGTTGTGTGTATAATGATTGTTTCATGTACAGTGTTGTGTGTATATATATTATTGAGATTTATATCGCAGTTGTGATTTATATATATATTTTTTTGCTATGTGTTGTAATTGTTATAATTTGTTTAACTGTGGTGGTTGTGAATGGTGTGGTGTTGCGGTGATGTGTGGCGCCTGCTCCTCTCTCTGACATGCTTGTCTGTCTTTTCTAGCACATCCAGTTGGCAGCAGGACTCACGACGCTGGTGAGGCTTCCCCCTGTGATGTGCAAACCTCTCCACCCCCCTTTGGTGTGCCCTCTCCACCCCCTTTGGTGTTCCCTCTCCACCCTCTGTGATGTACTTCCTTCACCCTCTGTAATGTACTTCCTCCACCCTCTGTAATGTACCTCCTTCCTCCACCCTATAATATACCTCCCCCACTCTGTAATGTACCTCCTCCACACCCCCCTCTGTGAAGTTAACAGCTGCTGGGTTCCACCCTCCACTGTGTTGCACCCCTTCCACCCGCTGTGTTGCATTGCCTCCACTCCCTGTGTTGCATCCACTAAATTACCTGTGCTGCACTCCCTCCACCACCACTTTGTTGCACCCCCCCGCTTGTTGCAACCCCGCCACTCCCCCCCTCTCCCCCCTGTGTTGCACCCCCTCTACCACTTAGGTTCAAGGGTGGTAATCTCGCCGTATACAACTGTAAGTCTTCTGTTTGACACTTGTTGACGTGTACACCATCTTGCGCACACGTGTATGTCCTCTGTGTATGTCCTCTTACGTGCACGTGTCTTGTTCCTCTGTGTATGTCCTTACGTGCACGTGTCTTGTTCCTCTGTGTGTGTCCTTACGTTTACGTGCACATGTCTTGTTCCTCTGTGTATGTCCTTACGTGCACATGTCTTGTTCCTCTGTGTATGTCCTCTTACGTGCACATGTCTTGTTCCTCTGTGTATGTCCTCTTACGTGCACATGTCTTGTTCCTCTGTGTATGTCCTCTTACGTGCACATGTCTTGTTCCTCTGTGTATGTCCTCTTACGTGCACATGTCTTGTTCCTCTGTGTATGTCCTCTTACGTGCACGTGTCTTGTTCCTCTGTGTATGTCCTTACGTTTACGTGCACATGTCTTGTTCCTCTGTGTATGTCTTTACGTGCACATGCCTTGTTCCTCTGTGTATGTCCTTACGTGCACATGTCTTGTTCCTCTGTGTATGTCCTCTTACGTGCACATGTCTTGTTCCTCTGTGTATGTTCTCTTACGTGCACATGTCTTGTTCCTCTGTGTATGTCCTTACGTGCACATGTCTTGTTCCTCTATGTATGTCCTTACGTGTGTATCTGTGTGTGCGTATGTACGCGCGCTTCCTCTTGTGTGCTGCTATGAGCACTTTTGTGTGTACCTCGTGTACACCTCTGTGTCGTCTCGTGTGCGTCTGTGTGTTTTTCGTGTACATCTGTATGTTCTCTGGTGTATACATCTGTGTTGTGTTTATCATGTGTACATTTGTCTTCTTATATACACACATGTATGTTTCATTAATGTGCACATGCATTTGTATATCCCCTTATATATATATATATATATATATATATATATATATATATATATATATATATATATATATATATATATATATATATATATATATGTCGTACCTGATAGCCAGAACGCACTTCTCAGCCTACTATTCAAGGCCCGATTTGCCTAATAAGCCAAGTTTTCATGAAGTAATGTTTTTTCGTCTACCTAACCTACCTAACCTAACCTAGCTTTTTTTGGCTACCTAACCTAACCTTACCTATAAATATAGGTTAGGTTAGGTTAGGTAGGGTTGGTTAGGTTCGGGCATATATCTACGCTAATTTTAACTCCAATAAAAAAAAATTGACTTCATACATAGAGAAAAGGGTTGCTTTATCATTTCATAAGAAAAAAATTATAGTAAATATATTAATTCAGGAAAACTTGGCTTATTAGGCAAATCGGGCCTTGAATAGTAGGCTGAGAAGTGAGTTCTGGCTACTAGGTACGACATATATATATATATATATATATAGCCAGAATGCAGTACTTGGCCTACTATGCAAGGCCCGATTTGCCTATTAAGCCAAGTTTTCCTGAATTTATTAAGTTTTCGATTTATTTTCTTACGAATTAATTTTATTAATATAATAATATTCAAATTAACCAATTTGATTTTTTTTTAAAATAACGAAAATCACTCGGCTTATTGGGCCTTGCATACTAGGCCAAGTAGTGCATTTTGGCTATTAGGTACGACATTAATATACATATATTCAACATATATACTCAAATTCTCACCCCCCATCCCTCTGTCATCATCAATTCTTATCGCCTCGCCAATCCTTTCACCATAATACTATTAACCACCACGACCCCCCCTTCCCTGTGTTTTCCCCCGCGGGGCCGACAGGTCATCCAGAAGCCCGGTGGCACGGCCGGACTGACGACCACCACCAAGAGCGCGAGCCTGGGGTCGTACGCCACCACGGGGACGGGGGCGAGTGCAGGAGCCTCGTCCAAAACGCAGCAGGCGGTGGTGGCCCGGTCGAGGTCGTCGGCGGCCCACTCCTCCTCCCCGACACGGCCCACCAGTGTCTCCTCGCCCAGGTACGCCACCACAACCCTGGTCCTGTGCCTTGTCAAGTTTGGTCTCGTAATAGTAAATATAGGATATAGTTGCCATATTTATTATTATTATTTTTATTATTATTATTATTATTATTATTATTATTATTATTATTATTATTGTTATTGTTATTATTTATTTTGTATTTTTCTTCTTCCCTTCCTTATTAAGACTGGATAAATCGGGTTTCAGACAAAGGAGACATTATTTTCCAATTTTCATTTTGCTCCGCGTAGGAAGAAATTGAAATAAGTTTATTGAGGTATAAATGCATACTCAGGGATGAGGTACAGTGTTCATACATACATACATACATACATACATACATACATACATACATACATACATACATACATACATACATACATCACATCACAGTCAACACATTACTAAACATTGAGTGATGAACATATACATTTCTTCCTTTACACATGCAGCATGTTACCAGACGCGTGTAGGAAGAAGTGGAGCCGTTTGCGCCATGTTTTGGCGTACATTCTTTCACGTTCCCGCTCGTCAGCTGAACTTTGTAGAGAAGCAAATTTTTCGGAATAGGTCTTAAAATGGCTCTAAATTTGTATAAGAGGACGTTTGCTGTTCATTAAATTGAAGGATAAGACGCCGGTTGGACCCGTCTGAGGATATGTCATTAGTTTAGTCTTGAGACATCAATCAGATCGCCATAATGTTGGAAGATAGAACACGAAACTTAAAGCCACTAAAGAGGTCGTAAGTTGGGAGGTGGGGGGGGGGAGGAATGGGGTGATAATGTTGCAACTGGCAATAGGCCTGGGAATAGGCCATCAACTAGGCTTGAGTGTAGATAGGACATCAACTAGCCATAAGTGAAGATAAGACATTAAGCATGAGTTTGACATCAATTAGGCACAACTTTTGAATGGGGGGGGGGGGTTTGTTTATTATTGACAATTTTAAGGATACTTTAATGATTATTCACCTTAGATGAATAATCATTATTACCTATTATAGCAGTATTATCATTAGTACCTATTATAGCAGTAAAATAGGTACCTGGGTGTTAGTCAGCTGTCACGGGCTGCTTCCTGGGGGTGGAGGCCTGGTCGAGGACCGGGCCGCGGGGACACTAAAAAGCTCCGAAATCATCTCAAGATAACCTCAAGATAAGATAGATCGTGTGTAATGGGTGATCTTGTTATACACGCTAGGTGCCATTGATGGTTGCTTCAGGTGACGCTCGCCTTAGGTCACTACAGGTCACACTTGGACGCTGTATTACTCGCGATGCAGCTTGGCTGTAGCCTTCACTCTTATCAAACAATCTTCACTATCTCCTGCGCTTGAGAAATCTCCAACGTTTGCTGTGGGTAGAAAAGGACTGAACGCTGAACCAGAGGTTGAACGGCGAGACCAAAAGAGCTGAAGCTCGCCCTCACGACGGTCTAAACCCCAGTTCACACTCCCTTTTGGAGGGTGAACAAATCGACTCCCCCCCCCCCCTCCTTGCAACAGTAACTGGGGCTAGGGGTTCTGGTTGCAATAGACAGGGGGGGGTGCGTACGCTTAGAGAGCTCAGGGTATGTCAGGAAAACCTCTAAGAAAGAAATTATAACATATGATAATATATATATAATTAATTTGAGATTTTATTGTTTGAGATTTTACCGATACCATTACTGTAGAAATAGATGAGAGAACATAGATACTAAGGTATCAGTACACGTCTAGCATAGACACTACACTTTCCATACAAACCTCTAAAATTTCCAAAACGTTAGGTCCTGTTTCTTGTTATTTATTTAAAAAAGAATTTGTTCCTGAAGGGGAAAACAATATCTCATTTTGTGTCGTCATTTATTAATCTTGTAACAATAATATATTAATTAAATTGTTTCTAACCGAACAAGACACTGAAAAAGTGTTGGTATTATTATATATATATATATATATTATTATATATATATGCATATATATATATATATATATATATATATATATATATATATATATATATATATATATATATATATATATATGCAATTGACGATCACTAAACACTGATCATTTGTATGCGGAAAATCCACAGAGAAATGGGAAAGAGAGATGAACGTTTCGCCCGATCTGGGCCTTTGTCAACACCGGACTGAAAGAAATCACAAAGGAAGAATCAAAGAATCATTCTTCCTTTGTGATTTCTTTCAGTCCGGTGTTGACAAAGGCCCAGATCGGGCGAAACGTTCATCTCTCTTTCCCATTTCTCTGTGGATTTTCCGCATGCATATATATATATATATATATATATATATATATATATATATATATATATATATAAATATATGCGAACAAACCTATATAGTTATATATATAATATATTCATAATATACACATATATATACACACACATATAGACAAAAGGTTCACAATTTTATATATATATATATTTAATGCTAAACAAGAGTACTAAATAAAACCTCCAATGTGTGCTTTCTACTTGAGTTGGCCTGAGTTGTGTATTGCACCTGTTTTGTTGATGGTATTGTGTTTTAACACCTTATGGGTTATCCCCGAGCCCCTCAAGACCATAGTGCTGAATGATGCCTCGCTCTGTGTGTGTGTGTCGTCTTCCTCCCCGAGCCCCTGAAGACCATAGTGCTGAATGATGCCTCGCTCTGTGTGTGTGTGTCGTGTTCCTCCCCGAGCCCCTGAAGACCATAGTGCTGAATGATGCCTCGCTCTGTGTGTGTGTGTCGTCTTCCTCCCCGAGCCCCTCAAGACCATAGTGCTGAATGATGCCTCGCTCTGTGTGTGTGTGTCGTCTTCCTCCCCGAGCCCCTCAAGACCATAGTGCTGAATGATGCCTCGCTCTGTGTGTGTGTCGTCTTCCTCCCCGAGCCCCTCAAGACCATAGTGCTGAATGATGCCTCGCTCTGTGTGTGTGTGTCGTCGTGTGTGTGTCGTCTTCCTCCCCGAGCCCCTCAAGACCATAGTGCTGAATGATGCCTCGCTCTGTGTGTGTGTGTCGTCTTCCTCCCCGAGCCCCTCAAGACCATAGTGCTGAATGATGCCTCGCTCTGTGTGTGTGTCGTCTTCCTCCCCGAGCCCCTCAAGACCATAGTGCTGAATGATGCCTCGCTCTGTGTGTGTGTGTCGTCTTCCTCCCCGAGCCCCTCAAGACCATAGTGCTGAATGATGCCTCGCTCTGTGTGTGTGTGTCGTCTTCCTCCCCGAGCCCCTCAAGACCATAGTGCTGAATGATGCCTCGCTCTGTGTGTGTGTGTCGTCTTCCTCCCCGAGCCCCTCAAGACCATAGTGCTGAATGATGCCTCGCTCTGTGTGTGTGTCGTCTTCCTCCCCGAGCCCCTCAAGACCATAGTGCTGAATGATGCCTCGCTCTGTGTGTGTGTGTCGTCTTCCTCCCCGAGCCCCTCAAGACCATAGTGCTGAATGATGCCTCGCTCTGTGTGTGTGTCGTCTTCCTCCCCGAGCCCCTCAAGACCATAGTGCTGAATGATGCCTCGCTCTGTGTGTGTGTGTCGTCTTCCTCCCCGAGCCCCTCAAGACCATAGTGCTGAATGATGCCTCGCTCTGTGTGTGTGTGTCGTCTTCCTCCCCGAGCCCCTCAAGACCATAGTGCTGAATGATGCCTCGCTCTGTGTGTGTGTGTCGTCTTCCTCCCCGAGCCCCTCAAGACCATAGTGCTGAATGATGCCTCGCTCTGTGTGTGTGTGTCGTCTTCCTCCCCGAGCCCCTCAAGACCATAGTGCTGAATGATGCCTCGCTCTGTGTGTGTGTCGTCTTCCTCCCCGAGCCCCTCAAGACCATAGTGCTGAATGATGCCTCGCTCTGTGTGTGTGTGTCGTCTTCCTCCCCGAGCCCCTCAAGACCATAGTGCTGAATGATGCCTCGCTCTGTGTGTGTGTCGTCTTCCTCCCCGAGCCCCTCAAGACCATAGTGCTGAATGATGCCTCGCTCTGTGTGTGTGTGTCGTCTTCCTCCCCGAGCCCCTCAAGACCATAGTGCTGAATGATGCCTCGCTCTGTGTGTGTGTGTCGTCTTCCTCCCCGAGCCCCTGAAGACCATAGTGCTGAATGATGCCTCGCTCTGTGTGTGTGTGTCGTCTTCCTCCCCGAGCCCCTCAAGACCATAGTGCTGAATGATGCCTCGCTCTGTGTGTGTGTGTCGTCTTCCTCCCCGAGCCCCTCAAGACCATAGTGCTGAATGATGCCTCGCTCTGTGTGTGTGTGTCGTCTTCCTCCCCGAGCCCCTCAAGACCATAGTGCTGAATGATGCCTCGCTCTGTGTGTGTGTGTCGTCTTCCTCCCCGAGCCCCTCAAGACCATAGTGCTGAATGATGCCTCGCTCTGTGTGTGTGTGTCGTCTTCCTCCCCGAGCCCCTCAAGACCATAGTGCTGAATGATGCCTCGCTCTGTGTGTGTGTGTCGTCTTCCTCCCCGAGCCCCTCAAGACCATAGTGCTGAATGATGCCTCGCTCTGTGTGTGTGTGTCGTCTTCCTCCCCGAGCCCCTCAAGACCATAGTGCTGAATGATGCCTCGCTCTGTGTGTGTGTGTCGTCTTCCTCCCCGAGCCCCTGAAGACCATAGTGCTGAATGATGCCTCGCTCTGTGTGTGTGTGTCGTCTTCCTCCCCGAGCCCCTCAAGACCATAGTGCTGAATGATGCCTCGCTCTGTGTGTGTGTGTCGTCTTCCTCCCCGAGCCCCTCAAGACCATAGTGCTGAATGATGCCTCGCTCTGTGTGTGTGTGTCGTCTTCCTCCCCGAGCCCCTCAAGACCATAGTGCTGAATGATGCCTCGCTCTGTGTGTGTGTGTCGTCTTCCTCCCCGAGCCCCTCAAGACCATAGTGCTGAATGATGCCTCGCTCTGTGTGTGTGTGTCGTCTTCCTCCCCGAGCCCCTGAAGACCATAGTGCTGAATGATGCCTCGCTCTGTGTGTGTGTGTCGTCTTCCTCCCCGAGCCCCTCAAGACCATAGTGCTGAATGA